TGGGGCTCGGGCGCGCGCTCGGGTGCGCGCCCGGGTTTCCGGCCGGCGGGAGACAAAGCGTCTGGCGGATTAGCGGTGCTGGGACGGCCGGCCTGGGAGGAAGGGCCGCCAGCCTCAAGAATGAATGAGCTCTGGGCGGGCGGAGGGAAGGAGGAAGGGGAGGGATCCTCCCGGAGCGTCCGCATCTCCTGGGGGTGGGTCTGGCTTTGGCGCGCTCAGTCTCGGCCCTGTGACATTTTGCGAAGGTTCTGCGCCTGCCTTGGGCGGGGAGAGAGGCGGGGCTTGAGCTGCGCGCAAACTGCCCGCCCCCGGCAAGTTAGGTTTTTCTAGCTGGTTGGCTTTCTCTCGGGATAGGTGTGTCCCATCTTTTTGCCGGGATAGACCGGGGCCCGTGGTACTTCTGCGCGCGGGACTCCGAGAGATGGGTTTGGACACACCTCAGCCACTGTCCTTCGAGTCGCGTAGTTCACTACCTCTCAAGGCAGCAGTTGCCTCTCCCCAGCTTTTACCTTGCCATAACGTAAGTAGGTTCTCCGGTAGGGACTGTGCTTAGACCCCCGGCTGTCATTGTGCCAGGGCCGGTGAAAGGTGCTGCGTAAATGCTGAGTTGTTTCAGCGAGGGGCTCTTGTAATTATTCTATCCTATGGTGTGAATTCAGGGTGTGAATTTTCAGCCCAGGGCCCAAGGATAAACTTGCCCACCTTTGTTGACCTTATCTTAATTTCTGATGGTAATTGCTATCCGGCAACAAGTGCTGATGTTATGCTGAGAGTTGCTGAATTCGGGTCCAGAATTCATGGGCTCCATTGTCACTGCCAGTGTAAATTTCTGGAGTTGCCTTATTCAGACTTTGACACTGTTTGTTCTTGGATGTCTTTCTGTTTGTTTGAATGTCTTTATCACAGCCTCTATGTGATTGTGCCTGTGTGTATTCTCTTTCCCATCAAATATTTGGAAAATGGTTCATAAAAAAACATGGTGCATGTGTTAGAAATAGAATAGTATAGACCGGCTTATAGTGAAAAAACGATGACTGTGCTGCTGCGTTCCAGAAGGCAATCACATTTATCCCTTTTTGTTTCTTTGGAGATTTAGTTCTACAACTCAAAAATAATACTAAGCTTATATTTCTATTTCTTGAGCTCATCTTTTGAAATGAAGGGTCAATTCACTCACGCTAATATCTTCATCTTCCTCCAAATTTTTTTGCTACTGATTATCTTTGAATCTTAGATGCCATTGCTTGTTAAGACTTGTCCTTATTATGTGTACCACTAAGAAGAAAACATCAGGGTCAACCTATGTGGGATCCATCCTGTTGGACCGGCCCCATCCCAATTTCAGAGGTTGTTTGTCTGTTTTTTTAAAGAGACAGGGTCTCTGGCTTTGTCGCCCAGGCTAGAGTACAGTGGTGCCATCATAGCTTACCACAGATTGCAACTGCTAGGCTCAAGCAATCCTCCCACCTCAGCCTCCTGAGTAGTTGGGACTAGAGGCTTGCACCGCCATGCTTGGCTATTTTAGTTTTTGTAGAGATGGGGTCTTGATGTGTTGCCCAGGCTGGTCCCAAATTCCTGACCTCAAGCAGTCCTCCCACCTCAGCCTCCCAAAGTGTTGTGATTACTGGTGTGAGCCATTGCTCCTGGCCAATTTCACAGATATTAAAGTGTCACACAGATAAAGTAGTTGGTATGCTGCAGTTACTGTGTGTAGCAAATATGAAGATTTTAAAAAATGTGTTCTATATAGAGTGCAGTGGAGGAGCTGTATCCCATCAAACAAATAAATATTGTCTTCTGTCTGCTCTGAAGCATCTTGATTTCTGTTGCTTTTATAATCTTTCCAGGAGTTACCACCGAAGGTTTTTTCAGACAGCAACAAGGCTGCCACCTGTCTGACAATAGTTGTAATTGTATGTATTGTAAAACACATGCTGGTTTCAACAAGATTAAAAAGTGAGATGAATGTGTGTATTAGAATCAGTGAAATAATATGTCGTATAACTTAGATAATAGATGCTAGAGGAATAAAATTAAAGCACTGTGAAGGGATAGTGTGATTAAGGAAGTCCTGTCTGAGGTTGACAATGGAAAAATATTCTCAGAGGTATCAAGTAATGTTCTGGGATTATATTTTTCTCTAAGTCTTTGCTACTGTATGTATATTCCTATTGCCAGGATTAGATGTACTTTTTTTTTTTTTTTGAGTAGGAGTCTCACTCTGTCACCCAGGCTGGAGTGGCCATGGCACACTCACGGCCACTCCAGTGTCAGCCTTCCAGGTATCTGGAACTACAGGCACACACTACCATGCCTGGCTAATTTTTGATTATTGTAGAGACTAGGTCTCGCCAAGTTGCCTGGGTAGATCTTGAACCTGCTGGCTCAGGCAATCCACTAGCCTCAGCCTCCCAAATTGCTGGGATTACATATAGGCTGTGTCACCGAGCCCAGCCAATGTACTTTTGTTTTTAATGTACCATCAGTTGCTCAAAACATGCCACATTTTGTTTTGTATTTAGATTGTGACTTTACTTTTACAGTTTTGTTCCTAAATAGCCTTTCATTTTTCTTGTTGACTTAAGAAAAATTTGTCTTTAGCATATCTGCAACTATTACACGAATCTGCTTTCTTCCCTGCACTTAAGATGTGCTATGCATTGACATCCTGTAACTTACCTGACAGTTTCCTCCTGAATCACATATTTTCTTTTTCCTTGGTTTCTTTATTTTGTTGAAGAATGTAGTTAAATAATTTATTCAGAAAGAATGACAAAAGAAAAACTTCTGAGTTCTGCGTGTCTGAAAATAACTGTTTTGTCTTGTGCTTGATTGATAGCTGAGCTAGGTATGGAATACTTGTTTAACATTGTTCCAGAACTTGGAAAGTATTGTTGTTTATTGTGTCCTGCCATCTGGGGTTTAATTAATGTGTGTTTAATGCCAGCTAGTTACAATTAGTCGTTTTCTTTTGTTGGCAATTGCTTTTTCCCCTCCTCCCAGAAAGGTTTTAGACTTTTCTCTTCAAACTTATTTTATGTTAATTAGAGCAACTATGTTTTTCCTCCTTGGTCACTTGTTCTTTTTGTTTGGCTTGGTCATATATTACTGATTTTTGTTGTCTGATCCTTGCTTGTCTATACTGCAAATGAAGGATTCAGTGATGACTGAGTATTACTGCTACTATTGTTCTGGTACCTGTCCCCCCTTTTGACTAAATGGGAGAACATACCAGGAGGACCTTTTTATATTTGTGTGGAATGTGCTATTAGCCAACTTGTTGGAGAACCTGCAGTTGAGTTAAGGGGTGCTAAGGGAGGGCCAAATACACAGTTCCATTGTTAATTCATTTATTTTAGACCTGACTCACTTTCCCTTGCAGCCCTTTGTGTGCATGTTTTGTGATAAGTACTTATGTCTACATTTTGTCTTCTAGAAATTTGTTGAAATGTCTGCTAACAATCCCTTTCACTTTGTGCTGTGGGTTTATTTCAGGTTGTATACTTTACTGCCTTTTTTTGTGTGTGTCAGAGTCTCACTCTGTAGCCCAGGCTGGAGTGCAGTGGCACATTGCCCACGGCCACCACAACCTCAACCTGCTGGGCTCAGGGGATCCTTCTGCCTCAGCCTTCCAAGTAGCTGGAACTACAGGTCCATGTCACTATGCCTGGCTAATTTTTTTAATTTATTGTAGAGATCAGGTCTTGCCATCTTGCTCAGGCTGGACTTCAACCGGTGAACTCAGGCAATTTTCTCACCTCGGCCTCCTAAAGTGCTGGGATTATAGGCATGAGCCATCATGGCTAGCCACTTTACTGCTTTTTTATTCGAGTCTTTTATTAATACCTGGGCTTAGTAACTTATCATCTTGGAAATCAGTTATTTTTGAGCAACAATTGGAGTATAATTTGGAAGATAAAGAGGAAGAATTTTTTTTTGTTTGTATGGGTCTGTTTAGCTCTTGCATTTGTTTAAAAGTAATTTTCTATATTTAATTTTTTATTTGGAACCAGAGTATTTGTAATTAGGTATAATAATCATTTAAGTAAATTTAGATTAAGAAAACGGTCTTGAGAGAATTTTAGATTCCAAAATTACTTAGTATCTTTTTGGTTTCTCAGTACACAAAATAACTCAAAGACTTGGAGACACTTGGTCTTGTTGGAGAGAATTTGGCAACAGTTTCCATGCAGGTGGTCTTTGGATCCATAGGAAAATAGATCTCATATATAAGATACAGTTACTCTGATTTGGACCAACCCTAATTTTATATATATATATATATATATATATATATATATATATATATATATATATTTGAGATGGAGTCTCACTCTGTTACCAAGACTGGAGTACAGTGGCATAATCCCAGTCACTGTAGCCTTGACCTGCTGGGCTCCGGCGATTCTTCACCTCAGCTTTCCAAGTATCCAGAACTACAGGTGCTTGCTACCATGCCCGACTAATTTTTGATTTATTGTAGAGACGAGGTCTTGACAAGTTGCCCAGGTGGGTCTTGAACCCACAGGCTCAGGCAATCCACTTGCCTTGGCCTCCCAAAGTGTTAGATTACAGGCTGAGCCACTGAGCCTGGCCAAGCCTAATTATATATATATATATATATATTTGTGTGTGTGTGTGTGTGTGTGTGTGTGTTGGAGTCTCACTCTGTCG